TGGAGGGTGAAGAGATATAACCCATAGATGGAGGATGAAGAGATATAACCCATAGATGGAGGGTGAAGAGATATAACCCATAGATGGAGGATGATGAGATATAACCCATAGCTGGAGGGTGAAGAGATATAACCCATACATGGAGGATGAAGAGATATAACCCATAGCTGGAGGATGAAGAGATATAACCCATAGATGGAGGGTGAAGAGATATAACCCATAGCTAGAGGATGAAGAGATATAACCCATAGATGGAGGGTGAAGAGATATAACACATAGATGGAGGGTGAAGAGATATAACCCATAAATGGAGGATGAAGAGATATAACCCATAGATGGAGGGTGAAGATATATAGCCCATAAATGGAGGGTGAAGAGATATAACCCATAGATGGAGGGTGAAGAGATATAACCCATAGCTAGAGGATGAAGAGATATAACCCATAGATGGAGGATGAAGAGATAGATTAATATGTTTCCCAAGGGGATTTTCGCATAGTTGAATATAACGAACGAAACTGTAATTAGAATTCAGCTCTCCGATTAACAATTTCGAGCCATTATCCATTAAACTAACCACACGTTCAAGTTGACGTCACCTGGTATCCCCAAGCGCTCAGAGAACTAGGTACAGGTCAGGCTCGATGTTGTTTAACCCTGGCGATCTTCTGAGAAGCGGTGTTTCAACGTGATATAGCCGTAAGCTACAGTGACATCAAGTGAGTATCATATATACGACTAGCAGCATGGCCCGGCGTTGCCCTTGCTTGATTCAAAAATCGTACGACTTATACAGCAATCGTTATCACTTAAAATATTTTTGCACTTCCTTGCCTTTAAAGGAGTGCCCTTTGCCGTGTTGATGTTGCTACATGCCTTACTTCTTGCCTATCTCACACTGCGAATTTTTTCTAAGCTCTATGCTAAATATTAAATCTATTACGAAAAAAGAACTAAACAAAATGAACACAAAACGATCAGCTTTAAAAAAGGACTCGTAACTGGAAAAACCGAATGAAAAAAGAATGTTAGCAACAAATACTTTTTCACACCCAACCCAGTTCTGCGGAATCAGAATCAACGTTGAGTTTAAGCAAGCGAATGAGCCAATTGGAGTAAAGTGCCATGCAGATTTAAATTTTTTCCCACTTGTGATGGATGCAGCTATCGATTTTATTTTTTTTTTTTTTTGCATGCTAGCATGCTAGTTAACATTCGTGTCAGTCAGCTGTTGGCTCTCACGCTGGCCAATAGAATCTTCCAGCCTATTCGTTGCAGCCAGCTATAGGCTCTCACTCTGGCCAGTAGAAAATGGCCGCAAACTACATGAAGTCTGCCGTGGAAGCATGAAAAAAAATCGATTATTTCCATTATCGATGGGAGTTGGGAAATGCAAAGTCGGTCTTGGCCTTGCCGCTAACTTGGAGCATGTGCATGTAAATTTTGGTGCAAATCCGTCGAAAATTGCGGTCGTGCATTCGTTACACACACACACACACACATCCTGCCTTTTATAGATAGCGATACGTCGCATAGAAGCTCGAAGAATCGCCGCTTCATTGTAGCAATACTCAAATCAGTGCAAAATGGATTATTTCTACCATATTTGAGTTGGAGCTATTCTTCCTTAGCTTGCCAGCTTTGATAGAGTTAAGAAACTCCTACCTGGTCTTTCCAGCCTACAACCCGTTTTCCACAGACAAAAACGCCGCAAGGGTCTCGTTAGTCTGTTGCTATTTCCATAGGAAAGGTTCTGACAATCCTTAGTACCACCGGTTCAGACATTTAGACTTAAGACCCGTCCTGACACGTATACAGGTTCGAGTCATCCTCAATCCCTTCGTATTCCATTGGCAAGAACAGCTACTTCGTGGAACAGACTCCCGCGAAGATGCTTCCTTGACCTCTACAATCTTAACCTCTTCATGACCGGGTCAACTACTTTCAACAAAGTCAGCAGCCGAGTTCATCTAGATACGACAGATGGATTTTGCATCCAAAGAACGGTTAGGAAAAATATCGACAGAAACGACTTGTTAGAAATTATTATTATATCGACATATCTATCACAGGAATTGATGACTAAACGCAATAGAATAATCAAGATATGGCTGACGTTTGCGAATTATATCCGCTGTTGAATTGAACGTGTGGGTAGCGTAACGGATATCGGTTCAGAAGGTGAAATCGGTGTGCTGAGTTCAAATTCGGAGCGACGTTCACTTTCGCAAAACTTCCCTGTCGAAAAAGGCATGAATCCGTCTCATCTCTCTCCAGCTATGAGACACAGAGCAGGGGTGGGGGCTGGCTTGGTATAGCAACCAGCCTAAGAGAAGAAAACTCTGAATTAAACCTTCGAGATGACAACGGGAAAGTCACAACAATGTAATTCCGAAGAATGTATGACATTTCAAAGATTTCAAATAAAATCAGGAAATGGTGGAGATTCTTGAACAGATACGTTCTAAAGGGAAATTGAATTAAAAACTTAATTATATACATTTGCAATGCAGATTATGATGAAAAATATATATTTCTTGCGAAAATATATATGTTTTTAAACACTGGATCAGAGTTTAAGGATTTAGCTGTGTATTAGGTTGGGTCATAATCAAAGGATATATCATCCTAAATACCTAATTATACATATCAGATAAACATCAAAATAACAAACATTAATTTTTAATTTTAAGACTACATACAAAAAGAACAACACATGAAAAAAATGGGGAACTCGGTTGGTCTGTCCTACACAACCAGCTTTATTCACCTGAGTTGCTTCAACTGATTATTTTTTGGATGGCTGCACAATCTTTTGGTGTAGAAAATTTTGTCTTATGCAAATCGGATTTCTTTGAAAGCTTTCGTGCATTAAAACCAAGGGTTATTTTCGTCTTCTTTGTTGCTGTAATCAAAACGTTTCGGCCGTTGTGCCCTACATCCTATCTCAGGTGCATATCGATCTGGGTAACCCATAGTGAATTTTAAACTAATTCTGAACTGCAACCTTTATTTATTAGTTCATAGTTTCCTGTAGGTTACCCAGATCGATATACCCCTGAGGAAGTCGTAGGGCACAACGACCGAAACGTTGCGATAAAAAAAAAATGATAACTAGGCATTCCAGAAATTCAAAGAGACCATCAATGTTTTTTTTTTGCTGAAAAGGAATCGAAGAGGTGTCTAATAAATGGCAAATCATTACAAACAATGCTGGATATATATTTGTAGTTTCTTTTTTGAAGAATTCATTTTATCTATGGTGATTTTCTGGGCGTAGCTTCGATGTAACACAAGATCGAAGGTATTGAGCACTCAGTGAGGATCGAACTCACTACTCAGTCATAATTGGTCTAGCAAGACAAGCTAGCTAAGCATAACACCACATCGAGGTCCCCAAAATAGTTTTCAAGGCGTACCTTAGATGTGGCACAAGGCCGAAAGTATGGAGCACCCAGTGGGGATCAAACTCACTACTCAGTCGTAATTGATCTACTGAGGCAAGCTTTCTAGCCATTACTTCATGTCGAAGTGCCCCAAATTATTTTCTAAGTATAGCCTAGATGTGGCACAAGGCCGAAAGTATGGAGCGCCCAGTGAGAATCATACTCAATACTCAGTCGTAATTGATCTAGCGAAGCAAGCTTTCTAACCACTACTCCACGTCGAAGTGCCCCAAATTATTTTCTAAGCATAGCCTAGATGTGGCACAAGGCCGAAAGTATAGAGCGCCCAGTGAGAATCATACTCAATACTCAGTCGTAATTGATCTAGCGAGGCAAGATTTCTAATCATTACTCCACGTCGAAGTGCCCCTAATTATTTTCTAAGCATAGCCTAGATGTGGCACAAGGCCGAAAGTATAGAGCGCCCAGTGAGAATCATACTCAATACTCAGTCGTAATTGATCTAGCGAAGCAAGCTTTCTAACCACTACTCCACGTCGAAGTGCCCCAAATTATTTTCTAAGCATAGCCTAGATGTGGCACAAGGCCGAAAGTATAGAGCGTCCAGTGAGAATCATACTCAATACTCAGTCGTAATTGATCTAGCGAAGCAAGCTTTCTAACCACTACTCCACGTCGAAGTGCCCTAAATTATTTTCTAAGCATAGCCTAGATGTGGCAAGTATGGAGTGCCTAGTAAGGATCAAACTCACTACTGAGTCATAATTGATCTAGCGAGGCAAGCGTGCTAATAATTCCTAAATTCACTTATTATTATTACGAGTTCATTCAAATCTTATGATTATAAGTTTAATTTTATTTCATTTTTCTTGGTCACCGTTTGGTCATATTACTGTTTTTAATTAGCATCTCAATTATTCACATTGATGGTATGAGTAACGGTTGAGATGATAGGATTTATCTTAAGTCCCTTATTCACCATTCTCTATCAATACTTCAGTCATAACCTCGTAAGACGACTGCTTAGAACTGAAGGAAAACCTTTCAGCACGGAAAAACCGTTATCAGAATGTCGGAGGCAGGCCTAGTTCTCGTCTGCTTTATGCTTGATCCTCTTTGCAGAGGTCTTCATTGAAACGCCGCATAATGCGATCTGCGAGATGGCAGCCATACAAATTGACAGCGGTTTGGGAAAAATTCAAAGATGCCATTAATTCGAGCGGCCGATACGACTTTTAAATGAGACCGGGATAATGAGTTTTGATTATAGTGGGCATTTGTGAAATAGATCGAGATCAATGCAGCTTACTCGGACTTAAATTGGACGCGAGCGGCTATAAATTGATCCGGATAATAATAATAATAATAATAACTTGAACAGACGTGAAATAAAAATATAATTTCTGTTAGAATGTGTATAAAGAGAACGAGTGGTGACATTATCAACAAATAAAATGCAATAAAATATTGAGAGAATGGGAATAATATTAATCACGCCGGTTTTCTTCTGTGTGTCATGTTCCTTCCTGATGCGTGAGATAATGGCTCTCCACAACCTCCTATATCGTATATCTTTTAGAAATATATTTACATTCCCTCCCATTAGCGGTTCTGGTAGGTGAGCCCCTGCCTTTGTCTCCTTTGCATCCAATATGGCCTATATCGTCAAACTTTCAATTCGAGTTCGAACACAGACGTTACCGTAATTAGTAATTTTGCCCTCTGATGCTGGCTTTGTGGAGGAACTGGTAAGGGCACACTTTTGGTTAAAATGTTCTTTTCCTGATGAAAAATGTGATGCAATTTCGATTCCTGCAGGAAGCACAATGTTTCTTTAGCAAGACAATCTAGGCCGGTTATAAATAATTTCAGTTTACAGACATATATATATATATATATATATATATATATATATATATATATATATATAAAAATTATATTATTACACTCACTTTTAAATATATAAAAATAACATTTATATTAACACGCACACACACACACATATACATATATATATATATATATATATATATATATATATATATATATATATATATATATATATATATATGTATGTATACTTTAAAAATCCGGAGGTCAATTGAAATACGCTACCTTGGTTTCGACCTAACGGTCTCTTCGGCCGATATATATACATTTTTTTAAATGACTACCTTAACGCTTTATTTAAATAAATAAAAAAAAACACACAAAGAACCATACATAATCATTTTTCAAAAGTAAATTAACAGGCGATTGACGATCGAAAAACATGACATTAAGTGTAATTGAAAGGAAGGGGGTTATAGAGAAGAAAGAAGTAAAAAGAAGGGCGAAGAAAAGAAAAGGAAGGAACGGGAAGGCAAAAGTATTGTAAATGAATACAGTAAAGACGAAAAGCAAATATGTAACTTAAATCTAAGTGAGGATAGGAAGACGAGCGTATCTCAACAATAACAATGGCGTTTTAAATGAGATTTTTTTCAACTGGCCTCATATTCAATTTTTATTGATATGAGAGCAAGGATTAAAATTTCGGATTTTTGGTTTAAAAATTTTTTGGGATCCGGAAATGTCATAATTTCTTATGTTGGCATAGTTTGCGAATGCGGGTATAATTGTTATATGGTTTTATATGGTTTTAGGTTTTACCATATATATATATATATATATATATATATATATATATATATATATATATATATATATATATATATATATATATATATATATATATATATATATATATATATATATATATATATATATATATATATATATATATATATATATATATATATATATATATATATATATATATAGAGAGAGAGAGAGAGAGATAGAGAGAGAGAGAGAGAGAGAGAGGCACGGTGGAGTAATGGATAGTGGCTCGGATTGAGGAATCGCGAGCCGAGTTCGAATTCCAGTTGAATCCATTACATCCATTACGTGCTAATACCCTTGGGAAAGGTATGAATCATCTTCCTCTCCCTCCAGCTATGGGTAAAATAGCAGGACAGACTGGTTTCTATAGCCTTGGATGGTAACTGGTCTAGAAGGACAACTCTGAATTCAAAACTTGCAGGAGGTTGTTTGGGGACCTTGTGGCATTCGGTGCAGCAGGCCTCTGTATTCGTCCCTTCAAAAAGTGTGGATGGTCCTGCACAGAGGCCTTCACCACTATAATCAAATCTCATGTGTCGGTTTCCAGAAACTGATCTGCTTGACCCTCATACGTCGATTATTATATATATATATATATATATATATATATATATATATATATATATATATATATATATATATAAATAAAAATATAAAGAATTCTTCACTATGTCCAAATATATATTTGTCCAAATAGGGTTTTTATCTTTTTACTACGTTTAAGCTGCGCTAAGTAAATCGATGTTTAGGGACTACAACATGGCCTTATGATTTGAAGGCTTGCCTAGCAAGATCATTTACTACTGAGTAGCATCATTCATTCAGTCCTATGAAAGATCTAATCGACGCTTATTACATTTCTAATGCAATCGATAGCATGGCCAGGAACCTTGACTTAAGTCGCTTTCGCACCGACCAAATGAATTTAACTACTAGACTGGCAACTAGGGCTCACCGTTTTACTCTTGAACTAGTAAGGTGCAACCGCCACTTCTACACTAACAGTTTCTTTTCTGGCACTTTTCGCCTGTGGAATTCCCACACGATTTCTTGCTCCCTGGTAACTGCAACTTTCACAAATATAAATACAACGTCAATCGCCATCAACTGTTTCCTTGAACCCTGTCCTTATTGAATCTTTTCATCAACCCTCCCTGTACTCAGTCTACTTCACTTTCATCTCTTGTAACGGTCAAGATGCACTGTCGCCTTGCTTGGGGTGAAATGATTTAAAAAATTGGTATATATGAGATAAAAAAAAAATCCTTTTTGTTGAGGGTTTGTTCCTATTAAGCGTTAACATGGCGCAACCTTAGACTATTTCAAATTGAATCTGGGTGAGACCATCAAAGTTAATTGAACAAGCTACATAGATAGATAGATAGATAGATAGATAGATAGATAGATAGAAGCACGCTTTTGAATACATCGAAGCAAAATGAAATGCATTATTGTTAACAAAATTATTGATGACCTTGTCTTTGTTCAGAAAGTAATGATAGGGACTTCACTACAAGAGAAAACCATATTAAACTGTCGACTCTAACTGTTGCGGCTTTCTCAGAAAATGATTATGCGTGGCAGAAAAATGGAATAACTTGAAAGTCTTTGCAGGTCTCCAATTAAATTCAACATTTCGATTGTGGAGAAGCCCCGTCCAGATAAAGAGCGCAGCAGATGTAGACATACGAAGGTAACTAGAAACGTGAGGCCTGAAGCATCATGGAACTGACCTTGGCTTCATGACGACAGATAAATTAAAGTCAATGAAGACTTATTGCTTGTTCTGCATCATGACGTGGAAATTAAACTCTTTCTGTAATTTTAAGATTTATGCATCATTCGAAAGATAAAGGAAAATAGAAAATAATAACTAGTAATAGTATATATGGCATCCGTCGATCTCAAGAGACCATGAACTGGGCAGGGTTTTTATTTTCTTTTTTTTTTATTGCTGTGAGAGGTCGGCAATTGTCCATAGAGCACCTCTCCCCTCTTCACGCTAAAGATATTGTTCAAAAGAAAGACAGAGGTCAATAGAGCTTTATACCGATGTCGTCGCATACGTTGCCAGAACGAAATTAAACAACGTACTGTCTTACGGTACTGTGTAAATTCCTCTTTCGCTCAGGGGCTTCTCTGTTAAAGGACAGAGGGGCAACTGAGGAAAATTATACTGAAGAGGTGTCCGACCCTGGAAAACAGGTGTCCGGGGCCGCGCCCTCCCATTGCACAAGAGGGAGGGATCGGTGGTCGCACCGAGGCCAGCGCAACCGACGGTTGCGGGGGCTGAGGGGAATTTTTGTCCCTGCCCGGGTGCATACGCTTGGGCCCCCACATTAAACCGACCTTGTGTCACCTCTCATTCTAGTGGGGGAATGAGTAAATGCCACTGTCTTAGACTCTGGTTCCATGATTTCAAGTCAGAGTTGTCCCTCCCCCGGTCTGGTTGCCAATCATATCTACAAAGACCGGACTCTCCTACTATTTATCGATAGGTGGAGGAACTTTATTCGGCTTCCTGCCTTCTTCGAGACTAGTTGCTCTCAAAGGCTATATAACCCAGTATGCTCTGCTATTTATCCATAGTTGGAGGGTTTTTTTGTTTTTTTTGTATTCAGTTTCCTTCTCCTAACCCGGTTTCCATGCGAGGCTATAGAATACAGTCTGTCCTGGTAATTAACCATAGCTGGTGAAGGAAAAGAGATGGTTTCATAACTTTCCCAAAGGTATTAGCACGTACGTGACTACAATGGAATCGAATGAATTCGAACTCGGCTCTCCGCTTCCTCAATCCGAGCCGCAATCAATTACTCCACCGAGTATGCCCTTTGTTTTTTTAGCGGCATATCAACTCCTTATGGGTCAATTTAATTTTCATGGTGGAATTAGCAATTTCTTTTACAAAAATGTATTGCTGATATTTTTCACTATATTTTTTTTATATATATTTTCATAGTTTTCTTTTCACTCCATTTTCAAGGTTAACTATTTGATCATAGGTGGGACCCTAACAAGGGGCTACAACCCCAAGTTTAGGTTGAAACTGAGAAGAAGAAGAATTAAGATATTGTTCCACGTTCCTCAGAAACCCCCGAACAGAGACCTTGCTGCCGGATGTAGTTTATCGTCATACCCAGGACGGTCCAAAAATAGATTAATAACAAATAATAGACATACAGACAGACAAATACGATGATGCAAATATTGTAAAGATATTTGCAAAATAAAATTAAATGTAAAAAAAAAAACAACTTAACCGTTTTCTGCAAGAAAGCGTGGAAGATTCACTCAGGGAATAGACGTGCAAAAATGGCGGTACATCATGCGTTATATAAAAGTGTCATTTCCTTGTCAAATTACGAAAGATACGGCCGGTTTATATTGGTTGAAATTTTACTATAAATATGTATTGCTATTAATTTGACTATAAAAATATACTGCTGGTAATTTTTCTAATAAAATGTATTTTTATATTTTCATAGTGTTTTCTTTTTTTGTGGGGGGGAGGCTCACTATTTTTCCCATAGCTGGGACCTGTTTTGGGAACAAAAGCAGTTCAAAGGTGTTTCTACACGCCTCAAAACCGCCAATCACTGGATCAGAGGTCTTACTGCCGGATGTACTTTATCGTCATACCCAGGACTATTCCATCGGTGTTAAAAAATGTAGCAATTAATAAGAAAATATTGTATCGACCCAGATGTTACCTACAAGCCATCTTTCAGAGATACCTATGTCCTAGTGAAATCAAATCAATTGCATTAATATACTGTTCGTTCTTGTGAATAATACGACGGCGTGTTTTGGAAGCTAAAAACAGGGAATAAATTATATCATTAACTATAATACGCCCCCGTAGTACAGTCATCCTTATGTAATATTACGAAAAAGTTGTATCATATTATCCATTAAAATCTCAATGTCGTACATATATTTCACTAAAATATTTAATTTTTCATGATATTAAAGAATAGAAAGGAACCGGATGTTTAGCCATTGCGTATTTCTTCTCTCAGTTTCCGTTTCAAAAGATATATTTTCGAATTTTCAAGGAAAGATGCTTTGTTGTAACATTAATGTTATTAAAACATGACAGATCTTGTGTATTCCCTTTATTAATGTTTTGAATCAATTTCGGTACGTTTCCTGTCTTTGAAACAAAAGACGCTCAAGTACGCTGATACTCAAAGAAAAAATACATTGCCGACATACCTGATAACACCTGCCTACATTGTGTTTTATTATGTTTGTGTTAACTGCGTTTATTTGCAATCTTGCTATTTCAAATAAGAGTTTATTTTTAAGCTGGGTACATGTTTCTGAAAACGTGTACTTGTGTATACACCCCACCCCCACTTAATTACCTTTAATTTTGGTTAAATATTTTCCGTATTATATACAGATTGTTGTTTTTAAAATAATCATGTTAACTAGGCTTAAAACAGTCTGGCTGCTTTTTACTATATTTCCGTTGTCTGAAAATTAAAATGCTTTCTTTAAAAATGTAATAGCACGGGATGCTTTTTTCCTCCCATCCTCCTTGCTGAGGGTCGTGAGCCAGGCACAATTTCATCAATACTCTTTCACTCTATTTTCTCCTTCATCAGCGTTCTCTATTTCCAATCTCGCCATCAGTTCCATCAATCTCCTGCCACCGATGCGTCCCTCCAGGATGTGTGTGCAGAGATTCTGGACCCCATGACATGTCTAAAGTATTGCAGTTTTCGCTTGCCTATGACACTCTCAGCTCCTATCTCTCCCACGACAGACTCGTTTTTTTTTTGTTTTTTTTTTTTTGTTCTATCCAGCTAATACGCAATTCTTGCTTCTAGCATGTGTCGAATTGCATCGATTCCTTAGCATGGACGACTATCAGCGTCCTGGTTTCGATCCATACAATACCACTGTTTACACCAGGGCTTTAAGTAATCTCAATTTGATGTGCTTGTGTAGTGCGTAGTGACCTAAGTACAGATATTGCTCTGTTTAGTCTAGCCCTGATTTTATGACTATGGTTCACTGTTTGATTTATATTGTTGTCAGGTTCTTGAATTTAATTCCAAAGATAACTACGTTTCGATAACAACTGATAGATGAACGAAATACGTTAGACTTGAATGCGAGTCTGACAAAAAGAGCGGATGGGTTCCTATTTCAAACCGAAATGATTTTGTTTCGTGGATATAAGACAAAATAAAATGTCGATATTCTACACTACATAGAAACTGCATCTATATTTCAAATGATATGATAAGATTAAACCGGCATAAATAAGTGTCACGATAAAATGATATTTCTGCAAACGAAATATTATTTCAGCTCCGAATAAAGGGCCAATTCCAGTGGTCATCTACTGAAACCTTGTTTGAAAAGAGTTACCATACCTTGTTCTTACAGACTTTGCAATGCCAAAGGACGTACTTTTCCTTCACTTTGATCTGTCTTGGACAAACCGCAGAGCCTGGAACTAGTTTGTGTTTCTTTTTTCAGTTCTTATTTATATATAGTACAGCCTTGAGCTATCCAGTTTAGAGCAACTTTGGCTGGCCGACTGTCACCCAGACGGAGGATATAGCCAGTGAACTCTCTCCGCCTATCTAACAGGGTTACACTTGAAGATTTCTAGAATTTGAACGTCATAGCACTTCTTCATTTGTGATTGTATTTCTCCAAAATATCTTTAGAATTTTGCGATGTTAATTGGAACACATTTAAGTGTGATACATCTTTGTGTTTTATTTCCAAGTGTCGCAGGTGTATAAGGCAGTTGAAATGACAATAAATTCATAGAATTTGAGAAGGAAAAAAGAAGAAAAAGAAAATATGTTAGACGACACGTTTCATATTTTATGAAGCCAAATGCAAGGATTTTATTTTGTAATTATAATTTATATCAAGGACAAAAAGTTAATTTCTTTTAACTTTTTTTTTAAAATTAAGAACGCTGGCAAATATTTATTAGGTTGGTCGAAAAGAGAGACAAGCTATGGAGGATGCGAAGTGATACAATTCAATGTCTAATAAACGAAAATCAGTGATGTTGATGAATTACTTTTTAATTCATATTAGTAATTAAATTGTTTTAGTTTGGTATTAGTTTACGTGTTATATATTTTAAATAACAATACATATATTAGCTGTACTCATAAATAAATTCTATTTTGGCTTGTCATCTTCATGTTTCAAAATTAAATTACAATTATTTTTATTCAATTATTCTCCATTACTAACAATGGCGATTAAACACTTATCACGTTGTTCTTCCATATCGTTTGAGTAAAATTCCTCAGGTTTTGATGTAAAATTTTGCAACGAACTCGTGAACGTTTCCCCATTTTTGCAACGATCAAAATTTGCAATAATCTGTCGGTGCAAGGTCAAGTGGATATGACTAACCGGGTTCCAATATTTTTTTTCTGTGTTATT